TGGGCAGCACTGGGTTGGGATGTTTTCTTGATGTGCACTTAACCTTTATATAAAACTCTCTCTTATACTTGAGTTTCTGGGGATTTGTTTCTCTAAAGTACCCAGACTAACACACTTGCCATGCCCCCGAGAAACTATTAATCCAATTACTGCCTTTATAGATTTACCTATCCTGGATTTCATACACAGAAAAACACACACAAAAGAAAACAATAACAAAATACAACAGAGAAAAACCTCAATAGAAAAGAAAGCAGAGGGGCCCTTATCGAAGCTGCAGTTTCTTCCACGTAGCTGCTGTAGTCAAAAAAGAGCCCACAGTGAGTTTTTCCCTTGACGGTCGCCGTTCGGTTAGCTGTAACCGATCTGCAGCATTTCAGGAAAAGACATTGCCTTACGTGTCAGCCATTCTAGTCGCTGTGCTGAAGATCCCAGGACACCTGAAATTGGTGATCTCGGTGGAAAAGTGTGACAGGGAGTTGAGCCATGTGCCCTGGGACCTGGATTTCCTTGCTTTTCATTGCTGTTAAAGAAATTTGAAGATGTCGCTGTGCTGTTTAAAAGTAGGTCTGAGTAGCAAAACGGCCCTGATGAAGCACAAAGAGTGGATGGGAGCTCCAGCATTGAAGCTCTGTGGGAGGACTTCACGCAAGACGTTTCATATGCAGAAGACATTTAAGTGTGCCCGGCTTAATAAATAAAAGACTTGTGGTGAGAGAAAAGAAAAGAAAGCAGAAAATATTAAAACAGAACAGATGTGAAGTGTTTCAAAAGGGAGACCAGGTGATAAGGTGTTCACAGGGAGCCCAACAACAGGATGGGAGCAGGGATACCAGGAGGGAAGGGGGAAGGGGAAGGGAGTTGGGGAGGAACGGGGAACCCATTTCAGTGACCAACACTTAACCACACACACACAGCCCTCCAGGGGGACGAATAATAGAAACCATGGGTGAAGGGAGACAGCAGTCAGTGTAAGATATGAAAATAATAATTCTAATTTATCAAGGGATCACCAGGGCTGGGGGGAGAGGAAGGGAAAAAAGAGGAGCAGATACCAAGGACTCAATAGAAAGTAAATATCCAGAAAATAATGATGGCAACACATGTACAAATATGCTTGATACAATTGTTGTGTGCATTGTTGTAAGGGCCCCCAATAAAGTGATCTTTTAATAAAAAAAAATTTATAAGGTGTTACATTTTAACCTAACGACACCTGCAATTAATCCACTTCCCAGTGCACTATCTCCGGGGCCAGGCTGTTGGCATCCCTAGTCTATGGTCAGAGAGGATTTTTACCCCTTCTGTACAAGTAATCATGCCACAATTCTTGAACTTTACAGTTAGAACTCTGGATTGTTCGTAGCTGTTCCAGTAGGAGAGATGCTGAGGTTCCCATGCACACAATGTCTAAGTCACCAGGGGCCGCTGTTTCCCCATGCATGGACAGAGGACTTGCAGGCTGGCTCCCACTGATAACCAGGAACACCATACAGCCTTGGGAGTCCAGAGGACCCACCCCCCACCCCCAAACTCCAGGCTTCCTCCGCCTTACCAAAGCCCACAGCACACACAGGCTTCTGGCCCTCTCCTGGCAAAGCGGCACAAGGAGGCACGGGAAGTTGGAGACAGATGGCAGAGTAGAAACTGAAATGAAATCCATCTGAAATTCAATCCGGCTCTATCAGGATTTCTTGATTCATAGGCTTAAGCGTCCATGGTAAGCTGGGTTTCTGTAGCCTATCGCATCATTTCCCTAACAAAATCCTTGCCAAATGGACAAGCAGTCTGTGAGGAAACATAGGAGTAAAGGTCATATGAACAGATCCTGTTCAAGCAAAGGACAGAAAGGTGACAAAGCTGCCGTTTCCACACCTGCTATGCATTTTCATTGCATTAAGACATTAACACAGACCGTTTAAGCAGGATGACGAGATGCCAGTCTCCCGCATTCAAAACCTGTGAAGACCTTTTGAAATAATGTCGATGATCCTTGACAAGGAGACCTGCCGTCCTTTGGTCACAGCAGAGCTAGTGGTGGGACCACAGGCCTCTGGCATCTAAGAGGTGCTGGACTGTTGAGGCCATCAAAAGGGCTGGGCCATCACTCGGTGCACATCACCGACAACGACAGGTCAGCATCTCTGTCTTAAAACTCTTTCCGTTTACTTTGCACCAAGGGCCTAGGATGTTGGGTTTTATCAAGATTTTTGCTGACAGGACTCAGTTGCCAGACACTGGGACCGTGACCTGGCTTTGGTCCGATTCCAGTGGAGGTATTTTAAACCAGGTGGTGCCTCTTTGTGTTTGCTTGGCTCCATGAACGGCCAGTCCCTGTAAAGGCAAGGGGAGGAGGATGGGGGTGTCGCCACCTGTTGTGTGGCACCCTGTGCTGCCTGCTAGAGTGGCAACTTCGTGGGACTTCGCAGGGCCTGCTCCAGGTTTACTGTGCGTTTTCTATCCTGCACCAGGGAGGACCTTCCCTCCAAGCCCCATCCGCTGTTGCTTCCTTTCAGGGCCAGGGATGAAAAATCGTGGGTTTGTCTGCATCTTAACTAAGAGAGAATCTATTCCTAATGGGCTTATTGAGAACAACAACAACAACAACAAGGCTGAGAGATTATCTGCATCAGTTTTTATCCAAGGCAGCATCAGGGTCCTTTAGGATGATTTTTAAACATGAAGATTTCTGAGGTCCCCCCCCCCTCCCCGCTGAAACCTCATGACTCAAAATCAATGGGAAGGTGCAGGAAAACCACATTTGAACTAAGTCCCCTTCACCTCCAACAATCGGATGACCCCTAACATGGCTCTCCAAAAAACCAAAAACAATAAAGTCTCACTGCCATTGAGTCGGTTCTGACTCACAGCGACCCTGTAGGATGGGCTAGACTGCCCAGTGCGTTTCCAAGACACTCTAGGAGTTGAAACCTTCATCTTTCTCCTGTGGAGGAGCTGGTGGATTTGAACTGCTGAGCTTATGTTAACAGTGGAATATGTAACCACTACACCAGCAGGGCACCTCTATCATGGCTCTAGACACTCCTTAAACACCTCGAGTCTTCAGAATTATCACTGTATAGAGCCAGTTTTGCAAGGGATGTTTGATATCAGTTTTTTTTTAATATGGAGCCAGGGGATCTTCTATTTGTCTTCAGCACAAGGATAAAGTGGGACCAGAGGTGGTTGGCCCCCACCTAAGTGCTCTGGAGAGTAGACAGTAGGTGGGTCTGGACCTCTCCGGCTTCAGGGCTGGAGCCCCACCCTCCCCCACCCTGGCCGAGCCCAGTTGTGCTGTACACACAGACACAGACACTTTCTCCATTGGGACTGGAGAAAGTGAGATGGTATTTAACCCATCAGTGAGGAGGGCCCTGGCTTAAAGGACCTCCGTGAGGAAGCAGCAGGGTTTTTGGAACAAAGTCATCCCTGAAACCAGATTCCTGCTCGGACCCTGTGGGAAGTCACAATCCCATTCATCTTCAGAAAGTAGCTTAAGAGCACAAGGCTTAAAGGTGGGCCACTGAGCGCTTCCACCCGAGGGCACCGTGGCATGGGTGTGCTAAAGAAGACCCTTGAGTGGAGGTGAGAATTTGTGTTCTCTCTGGCTGGCAGAGCCTCCCTCTTACCCAACTCTTTCCAGAAGGCCCCTTCTGCCCCGCTGTGCCCCAGGCTGCTCCAGCAGGCAATCCCTGCCTTTGTATGGCAGCCTGGGCCTACTTCTCTATTGTCACTCATCAGCTTACACTACGATGACCAGTTTGGCTTTCTGCCTCCTCCAGGGGTGGGTCTTTTGGGGGCGGGACGGATGTGGAGTCAGTAAATGTTTGTAAAATGAATAGACCTGTCATGGGGAATTTCTTGTGTCTGCCTTCGGCATCATCATCTCACACCACCCACGGAGATAGAGCCCTCGGATGAATTACCAGGGTGACATGAAACATCGAGAACTGTCTCGAACTGGGGCTGCAGCCTGAACCCGGGCTGCCTGGCAACTTGCCACATTGGCACTCTGGGCCTGCCTATCTCCAGACCTGTGGGCAACGCCCCTGCCAGGTGGGAAGGGAAGCCCTGCCAGGTAGGAAGAGGCCACTGTGTCAGAAACCAACCGGGCAAGGACACTGGGCCATCAAACCCACCCTTTGATCAAACCCGGACTCCCCACCCTTTCCCTTGCAGGTGAAGCATCGGCCAATCAGAGTTCAGCTCACTCAGCTTCCCCCCTTTTCCTGGCAAAGAGCAATGGGGTTCCTTACCACTCATTACTGCACCTCGGTGTCAGTCTTCACATGGTGCATCCTGAAGGCTCTGTGGGCTGGTAAACATGTAAATATCTCTATGCAAAAACGTGAGGCTCCTTCCTGCGTGTGTCAGTGAGCTGGGGAAATGGGCTTGCCCAGCACTGCCCAAGATTCAGAGATAGAGGATCGAACCAAAAGAACTGCCAGCTTCCCTCAGCAGCCGGGAAGGCAGCACCCCTTTCGGGCACGGAAGTGGCTGAGCAGGGCAGCCCAGGCCTAGTTGTGGGTGAAAGTAAGTTTGCTTACTCAGTGGGGCTCCCGTGCAGGAGCAGCTGAGAGGCAGGATTGGATTATAGGATTGAGTGGCTTCTAGACCATGTGGGGATCCCCAGCTCAGTAGTTTTCATTTTCTTGGAAATAAAGACCTTTAACTCCCGCACGTGATAGGGAGCCGAAGTACGTATGGCCTAACCGCTTTTCCCAGGGGCACTTGCCAGGGCTGCAGACCTGCGGGGCCGTTTTTCTCCCAGCGCCACAGACCGCACTTCCTTCCCCCAGGTCCTCAGTCGAGTGGCCGAAAGGCCTTTCTGCGGCCACTGCGTGAGTCTGCCAGAGGGAGGCCTGTGGCCCACTGGCACCTGGGTCTCTGTTCCTGAAGGGCCTCCGTGCAGGAGGTGTCACCCAGAGGTGGCAGATTCAGCCAGAGGGATGGCCCTAGCCTGTGAGGGTCCCAGCCACAGAGGAGGCTGGGGTGCCGGGGCGCTAGAGAAACTCAAGGCGTGGGCCACTCCCGGGGTCCAGGATGGGAATCCTGCAGTGGAAGGAGTCTTGGGCTTGAGATTCCTCTGGGGAAGCACTGAAGGTTTTTACTTGACTTGATTGTCTGCAAAAACACAAGAAGCACAGTGGAGAGGGGCTGCAGGAACCAAAACAACAAAAGGCTCCCTGGAGTCCCAGGACCGTGTGCGGAAGCTGGAGCTTTCCCAGAGAAGCGGAAGGAGAGGATTCAAGCACGCGGAGGAGATCCACACACTGGGGAGGTGGGCCCTGAGTGCGAGCCAGCGAGAGGCACGGGGGTGCCGCCTCCTATGACCCTGCGCCCCAGGGGGTATCCGCTCCCAGCCCAGTCCAAGCAGGGGAGGGTCTGGGTG